TCACAGAAGCCTTGTGAGTCTTCAGAGGGATATTTCCACTTTGGGGTAGGTCAACTCATTCTCAGTGACTAATAATGTGGAGCACATGTGTCAAACACACGGCCCGCGGGCCAAATCCGTCCCGCCAGGCCTTGCAATGTGGCCCGCACCGCGCTGTCATCACTGCACTCCGCTGTGTTTCCATCACAATGACAGTTTATGACTGTTCAGTAAACCATTCGGCCTGCGATTTAGGCTGGATTTTAGATTTTGGCCCCTTCTCTGATTGAGTTCGACACCCCTAAGGAGTGTCGAGCAAAATGCATGTTTGTGAATATGACTGGCTTTGCCTTCGCCCCAGCAGCATCTCAACTGCACATAAAAAAGCAGAAGCAAGTCCTCTGAGGAAATGTGTCCCCTACTCTACCACCAGAAGCAGAGTTGCTGGCTCAATGGAGCCAACATCCAGTAAACCATAAAATCTTATAGATTTGACATCATCCCTCCATTGTCAATACTCAAGTACTGAACACTATCAATTCTTTCCTGGACGTGGACAACAGACAGACTCTTAACTTGCCTACCTGTAAGTCTATCTTCACCCTCAATCCATTCTCCAAAAGCTGAGAGAACAATCTTTTGAAAAGATAAACGAGTTATTTCTTTTTATCCCCCTTAAAAATCCTATAATGGTTTTCCCACAGAGGTCAGTCACACTGACCTGAACTTGTTAACATGACTCAAGCAGCCACCCCTATGGCTGGCTTACTGTGTACGTCTTTCCCAGACCACATTACTGACATACAGAACCAGAAACCGTTTCTAAAATGTACGTGACCTCTCTTCCAGACTTTTGCCTCTCCCTCTTCCTACACTCATGCCTTCTCCCCTTTGCCTGGCTGGCCACTGGTTCAATCTCAGCTTAGACGGCATTACACACACTGTGGGCTTTTATTCTGACTCAGAAGATTAGGTATCTGTGGAAGACACACCGGCACTGAATTCACATGATCTAGTTCTCTGTCTTCTGTTCCAGCAGTCGTCAGCCAGTGGTCCATGAGGTCCGAAAGGCTGGTGACCGCTGTCCTATTCTACTGTAAGAAGGGACCACTAGTATTTAATTCACTCTTTTATAAGCCTGCCTATATGCTCAATAACTGTTTGGGTGATTAATGGCAATCACATACCGAGTACTGTGCCAGATGTAAAAACAAAACAAAACAAAACAAAAAAACCACCAGATGATTAAAAACAAACAAAAAGTTGATCATTTGACTTATAAGTGCATTAGGTTAGTAAAGTATATTCTGCACTCCCTATTACACTGCACTGAAATATAGAATTTCACAAGTGTTGTGAGGCACATAACACAGACATTACTATTCCCCTCTCACAGATAATCTGAGAATCAGACAAGAGCAAGCCATACGTACTACAATTTCACAATAAGCAGAATCTTTCACCAAGAGTACGAGTCAACAAACTACAAAGTGCACTTCAAGACCCTATAAATCTCAGATTTCACTTATATTTATGCTTTTAATTCACTGTTACCCTAAGAACAGAGAAATGACATAAATAATCCCCAAATAACATCTGCGAACAGTCATAATTTTTTTCATAGCAAATGTTTTCTGAAATTATCTGACCTAAATTAGTATTCAGGTTAATTTGGGTGATCTGAGAACATGCCGATTCACGACTGGTAGAAATATTCTAGGCAGAGTGAGTGTCTGCATTAGTCTACATTTAATACGCACCAGCCACATGGCACCAGCTAGAACACACCAAGAGGAGACGATGTTTGTGGCAGAAAATGACTACAGGGTTAAAAGCTTCAGTGTTGCCCACAATGGTACCACTGAACATTACCTTTTCAAAATAAATTAAATAACTACAAAAATATATCTTCACATTAAGTATTCTATTTCAACAAAACCACCCAATATCTTTGAAAACAGCCATTCTCACCCAAGGTACCACCATCAGGATGTATGATGCAGCATAAGAAATGTACATATTTAAAGAATCGAAATTCTAAGAAGGGTTTCCTTGTTTACAAAGTTTTACAAATGTCACTCATTTGCATTCCAATATGTTTGCATGAGTGGGGGTAAGGGGTGAAGCTACAGTTAGTGAGCAGAAAATTATAAGCTTTATATGCTCCGGAGAGTAGGGAACAAGCGAACATTATCCATCCTGTGTTCCAGCTGAAAAAGCTTTGAGATTTGCTGTTTTAAGTATGCCTTCTAAATATATATCAAATGTAGGACCTCAAATTAGTAGTTTGAAACAGAATTTTAGTGAAGACTACAAGTCATAGAGCTCTGGGCTTAAATGACAGCCTTCCTCATCCTACGTGGGAGTGTACTTGGACAAGTCACCTCAGCTGTCTCAGTCCTTCTTTCCTGATGCTAATGAGGAATTAACGGGAATTAACCTACATCTTGCAGGGTTGTCATGTGTTCGCTCTTACAGCACAATGATTAAGAGCCAAGACCCAGCTCTATCGCGTAGTAGCTGTGTCATTTTAGTTTAACCTGCTTCCATCTCTGTGAGCTGGGAATACTGTTACCTTCCTGACAAGGTTACTATCAAATTAACCATCTAAGAACACTTCCTGGCAAGTAGTAAACACTGTATAATTGTTAGTTACTATTAATGTCACTGTCCTCATCACCACCACTGAAATGGTAAGTAACCATTGCCACACGATTGCATTACGCCTACCATTTCTGCACTGTGAAATATGCCTTGAAAATTAATCTAATTTAGTGAACGGATCATAATATAGAACCAACACACACATCCAATAATTTTTATTCTGACTTTTAGAAACTTGTATTGCACAAGAAATTATCTGAATTAACTATTGTTCAGGAATGCTGACAAGATCCACATATCCACTACCCATTCTAATGAACAAATCCATTCAATGTACTAGCACATAACCCAAAATGACATGTTTACTGTCCTTTCTCCCCCAATCTCAAAGCATTTAAACAATCAGATACAGCAACCCACAAAATACACAAGCCAACTGAGAAAACTGCAGCGGAGAGCAATCAACATCTTCCCCCAAAACTTTGAACACATAATTACAAAATGATATTATAATGGAAAACTCTGACCTTGTCATTCATTCCATTATTCAAAATATTTATTAAGTATCCACTGTGTAAACAGGCAGGTATTGTGCTAAACTCTGGTGTAGCAACCGAAAAGGAGACCAAAAATAATAGTGGGCATAATATAACTAATCTTAACATTTACAAATATTATCACTTTGTTTTCCTTAAACAGTGAAAGGGTACGTTATAGACTCTAGCAGTTGAGTGCATCAATGCTTAATGAATTAAGTAACCTCATATATAGTATGTGGCAGCCCGATATTTTCCCCAAGGAGACTAGGAGTAAAATGAAATAAATATAGCCCTAGACTCCCCAGTCAATTACTTACTAAGTAAAGGTAAGTGACTATTTCTAATGTGAGCCAAATCATCCTCAAGAGTGACACTATTTAACATACAAGTTCATCATTATGTACTAAAAATGTCACCAAAAAAAACAAAGTAACAACAACAACAAAAGTACTATAATCTCACTTACGAATGTCCACCAGACAGTTTTAGTTAACTGCAACATTTTACAAAACGGACTGTCAAACACGCCCCAATTCTATCAAGTTGTGCTAGACACCAACTTCGCCGTTTTTGTTATTCAGTACAATTAAAGACCTAAGAGGATCGGTGTCTTTTCCTTGAGGTCCTACATTAATCTAAAGTAATTTGCAATCGTCCCCAAACCCCCAAGTGACTGAAATTCCTTTCGCTGTACATACACCACACTCCTCTGGAATGCCAGGCTGCCAAGCCCGCAGGGCTGCAAGAACACAACGTGGACTGCCACACATTTGCCACGTGAGGGTTAAGGACTAAAAAGACAGCAAGCTCAGTGCATTCACGGGAGGAGGGAAACACGTGTAAACAAATCCCCAAAACCCGTCTTATCCAGGATGGCACTTTTCGGGTCCACAAGAATGATGGCAATCCGTCTGCGCTCCCTCCCCACGCCAGGGGGAAACTCAGTAACTGCTGTGGACCGAGATGAGAGAAAGTCTCACCCAACCGTCTGCACAGGTAAGGCTGCCAGTCAGGGGCAGGGCGAGGAGGAATGTGGAGTGCGCAGCAGCAAGGGGGACAATCTGCCAGATTTTCACAATCAGAGAAAATCCACCATAGACATTCCTCTGGGAAGGAGAGAGAGAGAGAGAGAGAGAGAGAGAGAGAGATTTGGGAGAGAGAGAGAGAGAGAGATTTGGTAGGGCCCAGAGCCTCAGAAGGCACACACACACACACACACACACACACACACACACACACAGCAGTTGCCACTTCCACCGCCGCCTGACAGTGGTGGACCTGGGTGATCACAGGGGGGAAAACTGTGTTTTGGAAACACACCAAGGCCACAGCCTGGGACTGAGGATGGGACTTGCAATTCTGGGGACTCGGAGGCCCACGCAGGGCAGGAGGCGCACAGGTGGAGAGGGGGTGGCCAGCAGGCACCAACTCGGACGCGGTGACCAGGCGGCTGGGTGCTGGGTGCCGGGTGCCGGTGGGGCGTGGCGGAGTCCGCGGGCGAAGGGGGTGTGGACCGGGGCCGGGCTCGGGGGGAGAGGGAGGGAGGGAGGACCAGCGGCCGCGAGGAGGACGGAGAGGTGGGGGCCGGGGGGCCGGGGGCCGGGGGCCAGACCTCGGGGGCGAGCGGAGGGGGCGGCGGGCGCGCGCGCGGGGGCACGAGGGGAAGGACGGGGCGGAAGCGGGGAGGACCCGAATGAATGGGTGCGGGGGGCGCAGCCGCAGCGCCGGGGGTGGGCGCCGAGGCGGGCCCACCACGCGGGGGAAACGGGGGGACCGGGGGCCCCGCGCCGCCGCACCCGCCTCCCCGCCAACATGGGGTGGAGGCGCAGGCCGGCCGGGCGCGAGGGGCGCGGGGAAGCGTCCACAGGAACCACTCACCCCGCCGGCGCTCGAGCCTCCGGCGCTCAGCCCCGCTCCTCCGCCCTCCGCGGGCGGCCGCGGCGGCTCCTCGGCGGCGCTAGAGGGAGCCGCGGGCCCGGCGCGGGGCGGCGGCGGCGGCCGGACCGGGAGCCCCTCCGCACCTGCCCCTGTGGCGGAGCCGCGACGAGCCAGGCGGCGGCGGCGGCGGCGGCGGCGGCTGCGGCGGCGGCGGCGGCGACGGCGGCGGCTCCGAGCGGGGAGGGCAAGTGACCCGGATGTACAGGGTAACGGCGAGGAGGGGGAGGGGGCAATGCCAGGAAGTGAGGGCGCCGCGGACCTGTCCGGCCGTGCGCATGCGCCGCGAGCCCGCCCCGTAAGGTAAGCCCTGCCCCGCCCCCGCCCCCGCCCCTGCGGAGGGGGCGGGGCCAGGCCGGAGACAGGTGGTCGGGCGGGCGGTGCGATGCGGAGAGGAAGGGGGCGGGGCCGCCGCCCCCGCGCCGCCGCCCTCCTTAAAGGAGCAGCACCTCCCCGCGGAGATAGCATCTGGGTGGGTCTGAGTCTTGCAAAGCCTTTTCGTTTTGCGGAAGGGACACTGAGGTGCTGAGGGGACGGTGACCTGCCTGCCTCTCAGGTCCGCGAGCTCAGAAATGACAGGCACTGGACCTCGGGACTCGCAGACCAGGATTCTGAGTGCTGAGCCCAACCGACGTTGTCACAGCCGAACCCCCCCACCCACCGCCCCAATCTCCACCCCCAAGTCTGGAATGGCTGGGGTGCTGGGCATGCCTTCCCCCCGCCTCCGCCAGGTGCTGAGCTTTGCTCCCTCTCCGGGGACGCGGCAGATGCGCTTGGCAGGCTCCCCGCGCGCGGAGAGGTGCACCGTTATCCCTGCGATGCTATCTGGAGGCGCCCTGGGGAGGTGTTAAATGATCGCTCTGAGAACAGAAATCAGGCGCCACTGGAGACTTGCACCGCGCCACGCATAGCTCTTTCAGAAAAATGAGGCTTTGCCCTGGAGTCAGCTCTGTGCAAAAATGCCAGATAGGGAACTTGGATGTGGCAGAGGGTGCAACAGCCTCTCCAGTTTCCCCTAATTCCCCTTTCACTCTTAGAACAGAAATGTTCCCTCTTTACATACAAAACCAGAACATCCCATTTAGCTAGCTCATCCTTAACGCTGTTCTGCAACACTCAGACATCTTCGTCATTAACGCTAAAGTGTAAGTGATTACAGTGTTACTTCTCCTGGGAAGTATTTTCAGTTGATTGCTGGACAGATCACTACTATGGAGATAAATGTTTCTGAACATTTGGGGGTTGAGAGCTTTACTGAAAATCCTCTGAAAGAATAGTCTTTTCTCCCCAGGAAAATGCACACATGCAAACGAATTTGCATATAATTTCAGAGGACTTAGGCATCCAGAAGGCCTATCTATGAAACTCTGATTATGAACTCTTATTTCAATCAAATAGGATCCCATGAACTATCCGGGCCTTCCCATATGTGGCCAAGAAAACACTCCTCACCCCATATACCAAAGGACAGCTTTTTACCTTATTTAGCCTTTGTCTTCCTGTTGAGTTTCATGGAGACCAAATGGTATTGGCCATATCCCACAGAAATGTGTTGAAAGCACACACTGAAGTCAAGAGTCCTAGGCCGCAGATTTGTATCCTAATATTTTAGGATATCATTTTAGGATCATCTGGGGGGGCTCTATACTATATTATAATCCAATGGTCTGCAAACTGCGGCTCTCAAGCCACATGCAGCTCTTTGGCCCCTTGAGTGTGGCTCTTCCACGAAATACCACGGCCTGGGTGAATTTATTTTGCAGAAGTGGCGTTAGAAGACGTTTAAGTGTAAAAAATTTGGCTCTCAAAAGAAATTTCAATTGTTGTACTGTTGATATTTGGCTCTGTTGACCAATGGGTTTGCCGACCACTGTTATAATCTTCATCGATTTCCATTAAACTGAAGGAGCTGGTATTTATATTGCAAACATTAGTGCTAATAGAACAGTATTTTTTTAAAAATACACTTCACAATCTAAGGACTTTGGTCCAATGTGCCCGACACAATGAAACTCTTAAATAACCCTGGGTCAGCCCTGGCCACTTTGGCTCAGCAGATACAGCATTACCTGCGGACTGAAGGGTCCTAGGTTCAATTCCAATCAAGGGCACATGCTCGGGTTGTGGGCTCAATCCCCAGGAGGGGGCGTGCAGGAGGCAGCCAATCAATGATTCTCTCTCATAATTGGTGTTTCTATCTCTCCCTCTCCCTTCTTCTCCGAAATCAATAAAAAATATATATTTTTTAAAAATAATAACCCTGGTTCATAAAGACCACTGTCCTCAATTTGAACCAGAGGACGAGTTCACATACCCGCCCAGTCCCGAGAGCTCTGAGTAACCAACATGGCTAGCCCAACCTCCCACAAGAAAGAAATGTCTTCCATTGTATCCTCAACACATCGACACGCAGTTTTCGCTCAGATGCCTACAATCAGAGGGAGCTCGGTATTGCAACTGTCAGCCTCCTTTCACTGTGAGGAACCTCTTCTTTTACACGGAGAAGATGGAGAAGACGGAGAAGACATCGGATGCCCAACAACTGTCACTCATTGGTCCAAATTTTATCTCTAGGGAGCAGTAGAGACTTGATGCCAGGCTTTGGGGAACTTAACAGTCCAGCAAAGAAAAACAGTCCACTGAGGAATGATAACAGTAAAAGAAACTGAGTCCTATGAGGAATCCCTTTCAAAGGCACTTCTCTCCCTATCTATCAGCCCTAGCCCCATGCCCGTGCAGGAACCCATGAGTAAGTTCTGCCCATCATGTCACATGTCCTAAAAGAGGCACAGAAAACAAGACCCTAAGAGAAATGCTGAATGTCTTCTTCCTCCATCCTTTCTTCACCATTCTGCATGAATGTAGTCACATTCCAGCTGAGGTCAAAGCTTTCAACGTTATGGGTTGAAAAAAAAAGACAAGCAGAAGGACGCAAAAAAAAAAAAGTGTTTGCTAAGACCACGAGGCCCTCGGTGATGATTTAGTCCCTGCAGCTTGCTGGCACCTTTTTGAGCCCTTACAATGAACCAGGCACTAGACTGAGCCCTCAGCTCACATTTCCTCTTTTGCTCTTTACAGCTGCCCTATATGGTCCTGTTATAGTGTCCATTTCATAAATGAGGAAACCCAGGCTCGGTAGGAGACATCCAGAATTCAATCCCAATCTAGCTCCACAGTTTGTCTGTTTCTCCACTCACTTGACTCTACCTGCTTTTGTAAATCTCAGAAGATCCCGATGCTTTCTTTAAATGCTGCTTGACTTGAAACTTTCATTTACTGCAAAAATCAACTTTGAAACATTATAAAGAACCAGTTATTTCACTTAGTCATTGATTTGTTCAATCAACACACATGGGTGCTCCTTTACTACAGTGTCCTAGGTACCAGGCTGAGGGTCTAGGATGGAGGGGCAGTAAGACACGTGGTCCCTGCCCTGAAGGGGCTCAGAATTTGGTGAGAGGAAGAGCTATAACCTCACAATTACAACACAGCATGAGTCGTTGTAACCTAGGAGGGTGAAGGGGCCCACGCTCTCTGGGACACCTGTGGAGACCTCAGAGAGGATGAGCTTGGTTTTGGAGAGATGAGGGAAGGGCTGAGAAGAACAGGCACCAGGGCAGAGGAAGGGGAGTTCCTGGTGTGCTGGGGACAAGACCAGGGCGGTGAGATTGTAAAGGACCTCCTCTTACACCACGCAAAGGAGTCTGAACTTGCCTCCTGATGGCAACAAGTAGAAGCTTCCGAGCAAGGTGACATGATCAGATGGGTTTTTATATCAAGATCACTCTGACCACAGTGTCCAATGTGGACTCTGGTGGGAGAGAGAATGGAAGCCAGCAGCAAAGGTGTTGTGGAGCCTAGGAGAGAGAGAGAGAGAGAGAGAGAGAGAGAGAGAGAGAGAGAGAGACAGAGCGTGCACGCGCAAGAGCCTGGAAATTGGCAGTGGAGAAGAAGAATGTGCCCCAGAACTAAGACACTTAGCGACGTAGCATCGGTAAAGAGTCTCTGACTTGCTGAATCTGGGGGAAGGAGCAGCAGGAGCTGTGGGACATGGCCCAAAGGGTCCCCAATCAGCAGCCTCATTGGATGGTGACACCATCCAATCCCAAGACTTCTACACAGCTCTCATTCCTTCTCATCCAGCCTTTCCGCCCATGGTTTCCACTGGAATCCTCAGATCTGTGCAACTCTTGTTTCTCAAGACTCTTCCCTATTTCTACAGCCACATTTATCATTCTAATGGCTGCAGAACATTGCATCATGTTGAAACAGCTCTGTTTCCTTCCGTTGCCGAAGGTCCACGCCCGACATGCCTGGTTTCCCCCGAACTTACTCAGCTCTGGGCGTTTTGCAATGAATGAGCTGAGCGGGGAAAGAGAGCTTTGAGGTGAAGGGTGGTGGAAAAGTGTAGCCTCAAGGGCCAGCGAATCAGCAACTCTTGGGCAACTTGTAATGCATGTGGAAACAGCAGAGCTCTGGCAAAGAGCCCAACAACCATGGGAATCCTGATGCCTAACCCTCCGTAGAAGCTGGTTGTCAAGGCCTAACCCCCTCTAATCCACTCCTTCACTTATTCTCTCATTAGCAACGAATTCTGGTGAAGCAGTGAGCAACAGAAAACCCAGAAAACCGCTAAAACAAGCTCAAACGCTCTGGATTGAGCCCTGCGCAGGCTTCCCCAGCCCTCTGAGTGACCTGCAGGATTGAAACCTGTTCGACAACTTAACGCAAGTTATACAACCGCTCAGGGACTCAGTTTGTCCACACGTTCATTGTAAGGATGAACTTAGGCAAGTCGTGTAAAATACGTGGACAGAGCTAAAGCCTACATGAAGTCCAATCATTATTTTCCAACTTGGTTCCTTCCTCAGGCTTCCTCAACTCCCAACATCTTCCTGAGTTTCTGAGCAAACCCACCAGGCAAACCATCCATGGGCTTGAGTTCAGAACCTGAATCTGCCAGGGTGGACCCGGCCACCCCTCTCGATCTCTCTCACCTCCCACTTCCCTTCTGTGAAATGGGCATAAGAGCCGACTTCACAGGAATGTGGAAAAGCTCTCCTAAATACTGTATAGGAAAATATGCTCAAAACTCCAGGGACTATGCCTTTATTGGCCATATTGCTGCTGCTATTTATAGATATCGTTG